CACACAAACTTTATTCTCCCTCCAGGCTTTGACATGTATTTGCATTTGAATTGGGCCCAGTATGTCCCAAATGGCTGAAGGAAGGAATTCCTTTTTCAAAAGGAAATTATTTCATAATTCTCAAATAAATATGAACAAAAGGTGAAAATACTCTTTAACAAAGCAGAACAACTGCTTTAGTAATCCAATCCAGAGGTCCAAAGCCATTTTCAAGAGAGGAAAAAAAAGAAGATGAATAATAGCCATTAGATTTTTTTCAGGCCACTGCACAGCCCAACCATTTGAAATCTGGAAATTATTACACATAAAAACCCCTTTGGGATGCTAAAAATATTAAAAACAATGAAAAAACATTTGAACTAAGTCATCTGCTGTCCTATGTTGTGGGATCTGCAAGATGTGGCAATAACAGAATATATAAAAACATGAAATTCTTAGAAGAAGCCTACATTTGGAATTAATTTGTTAAACTGTGATTTTTTCACTTTCATAAGCAACAGAAGAATAATTTTCAGCTGGGCATTTAAAATATGAGAGTCATTATAAGGGGAGGTTGATATTTTCTGTGTTTTGGAGATACTACCATTACCATATGGTGTAATACCTTTCAAAGTATTACAATATAGAGTAACATTACTTGATATGATAAGTGTCCCCATTTTAATTTAGTATTCTATATCTGTCTACATAAGATTCAGTAATACTGTTTCAATGGTGAAGGCCTGGTCCCCACAGTTGCTGTACATATATTCCCATTGTTACATGTGATACATATTAGAGTTACCATATACAGCCTTGGCAAACTGGGGCCAGCATAAACTTTTGTATACTTTTAATCCCATTGTTATAGCAGGGATGAAGAACCAAAAAGAAAGAAAGCAACTATCAGTTTATAGCATTGTAATTGAAAATATTATAATGCTGAGGTTTGGGTGAAACCTCTGAGGCTGATAGGTGCAACAACAGTTTCTAAATTTAAAAAGTAATCAAACTCCTTTGTGGAATAAAACAACTGAAGCTATATGAACCATTGTATAGGCCAGGTGAAGACTTGTCAGAAGCTAAAATTATGCAGGTGCATGAGCCGTGAGAAGACAGCAAATGCAAGGAGGTTGGGTATTATTTGAGTTGAGGTGGGGAATGTGTGTGTGTGAACAAAACAGAAGCAGCAGAAACACTGCAAAAGCAGTGAGGAAACACCAGAGACTGCAGAGAAACACCTGTTGTATTACCTCGAGGAAAAGTTGAGACAGTGCCATTTTGGGGTAGAATGCTGTCTGGAAAGTAGGCTGGATTGTCAGTCCAAAAACCATCTCCTGTTATTTCATTTCAGTCTCCAGAGAAAGAGGACTTTACATGCATTTTTTAAAAACAAATGGGATTACAGCAAAGAAGTACCTCAATTCCCTCCTAACAAACAATCTGCAAGATCCTAAATGTTGGCTAATCATTTGATCAGATGTATAACAGTATATAGATACACTGATCCAAAATCTGTCCCTGGAGACTGATGGAGCTAGTGGAATTCCAGAATTGTGTCAACTACAGTTATATTTGATCTTTCTTGAGTTTACAGCTGTCCCTCTGTTTGGTATTCTACAGAAAAGTATGACGTAGGAGACTGGACAGTCAGAATTACATAAACGTTTTTTCACTTTGAGCTTGTCTGTTAAAATCCAAGCAAAATGAATCTACCCTGTGTTTAGCAGCTAGCAGAAATGAGAATTAGCTAGGAAATCAGAAATATAAAATCCAATTTCTTTTCACATCTTTTGAATCTGGCAACAACTTTTAATTAGGTTACGTTTTTGCACTATATCATCTTAGACTGAGTCTAAGGATGGAGTCTATCAGAGATAACCTTGGATTTCAATATACACCTGTAGTTGGTGGCTGGAATCCTGTTACTTAAATTCTGCCAGGACTGCACCTTCTCTTACAGTGCCAGCCAAATACAGAACTGGGAAAGGATAGCATTATTTTTTTCCCATATTACTCATGTACCAACCTAATAAAAATGAAGTGCCATTCCTCACAAACTAGTCTATGAAATATTTTATTAAAAATTGTACCTGGATTTAACAGCCACTGACACTTTCATACTTATAAATGGCTTAAGTAATAGCTTCCTTTATTATTATAAATATTGTTTCTGTTTATTTTAATAGGTATCAACACTGGATTTAGATGTCAGCATGAACTGATAAACAATTCTAGTTTTTCATTAACCAGTCTTTTCACTACAGTTACAGGGAACTGTAATAGGGTTATCATTATTATTCATACAACGGTAGCACACAAGCATACTGTTAATATGAGGACTATGTTATGCAGGAGCTGTACAAACATAAAAAGATGCCCTGCCTGTAAGATCTTACAATCCAATTAAGGAGAAGCCATAGCACAGAGGCAAGTTTTAGATAAAACTTAATCTTATGGTGATACAGTATTGATAAATGTTATGTATATGTAACTGGACAAAACGCAGACAATAGTACAAGCTTATTATAATAAACTCTCTCTCTCCTTCAAACAATATCAGGAGCAGAAACCATTTTTTTCATTATGATGATGCAGGAAATGGACTAATCCAGTGGTATCAAACTCATCCAGCACAGAGCCAGTCTACAGGTTGGATCAGTCCCATAGAATGGCATCAGTCTGTGGCTCATGTACACTGCATTTAGGGCTGGTCCAGAGTGCGTGCTGCATGAGGTACCAGTACCAGAGCAGCCTGGCATGCTGGCTCTGGGGCATGGGGCTGGTCTGTGGGCCTGATCTGGACTGACCCTGCAGCTAGCTTGCAGGGCTAGTCCAGTGGGGCATTGCATACACTGCACAGCTGTATGCAGTGTGCACATGCTGGGCCCAGCCCCACGTGCTGCATGCATCATATTCTGGCCGCCGTTTTGAGCTCATGCTGCAAGTGCTGCATAAGGCTTGGATTGCTTGTGATGCCCACATTGGATCATCCCTGAGCACTGGCTGCAGAGTGCAGGGACATTTTGGCCCTCGAGCCAGCACACAGGGCCAGTCCAAGACTCTCAGGCTGGATCCATGGGTTCCATGGGCTAGATCCAGCCTGCAGGCCGTATGTTTGACATCCCTGGACTAATTTTACTGTAGCAAATATCTTCTTTCAGTCAACATTTCTCCCAGTCCCATGGGGTTGGTTTTAATAAAGCTGTGCTCTACTTCTTGTCCTAGGAAATGTATATATGCAAGCTGAGACGCTGCTTCATAAACTCAGTGGTAATGTATTCACGAGTTGTCTGATAGAGGTCAACACAGCTGCTTAAGTAAGTCGTTTCTTACATACTATGGATTTCTATGTTCATATCTTGAGGTCTAATCTAGTATCCACAGGAGGAAATGGGAAATTTGTGCTTCAATTGCACAAGGAGAACACAAGGCTCTACGGAGCATATAAATTGGGTAAGTGCCACAAAGAGCTCAGTTCTATGGGGGTAGCTCTGTATGCCAATGTGTGTGGAGAGGGGGAGACGGACGCATGTGTGTGTATCTGGAATTTACATTTTCAAGCCATCGGTATCACTTCTGAAGTACAGTTTCTAAATGCCCCTTGCAGGAGAAAAGCACACATTTTTGTACTCAACTGTATGCTGTTGCCCCATATTTGTGGCTAATTATATTTCCTTCATGTGAATTATGTTGAGGGCATTTCAGCCTGTTTCATTTGCTTGTAATAAAAACCTTCTTTTGTTATGTGCCTGAAAATAACTTTAAATTGAGATTAAGAAAAGACAGAGGGATTAAATACTTGAGCGAAAGAGGGAAACATGATATGAAAGTGGAAAAGTAGAGAGTGAACATTTATGAAAGCAGCCAGAAGTCCGTAAGTTTTTAGTTCAAGACCTCCTTGGCCTGAGGCTGAAGCTCTTTTTTGGTTAGGATCCATTTGCAAAAGCTTTTTTCGGTTCATTGGATCATGTCAAAATATCTTTTAAGCCATGAACCATATAAAAATACAGCGCATTAGACTAGTTTGCTTTGCAATAATAAGCAATTAAATGCCCACCTTTCTCATTTACCTGTAGGTACCATACATTTTATACTCACCCTCCCTGTAGTGGGAAAGACATGCATTAAAAAAAAAGAGAACCAAGTGGCACATCAAGAAAGGATGTGTTGACCAAAGGCATCTGATTTTCCTTTCACAACCCTCATCTGCAGCACAGAGTTATTATTATTATTGTGGAGTTTTTCAATACATACATACACAAACACGTGTGCATATATACATATATATGTATAGAAAAGCTGCCAATGTGTATGGAGAAGGGGAGGCTCTAGGGGGGTGGAGCTTTTCTATACATATATATGTATATATGTACACGTGTGTGTGTATGTATGTATTGAAAAACTCCACCCCGCTAGAGCCTCCCCTTCTCCATACACATTGGCATACAGAGCCCACCCCTACAGAACTGAGCTCTTTACTGGCTGTGGCACTTACCCAGCTTAGGGCCTTGTGTTCTCTTGTGCAACTGAACCACAAATTTCCCATCATATATACATGTGTGTGTGGGTGTGTAAATACCCATAATGGAACAGTGATGTTGTAATCATGGCATTCCAGAAATTGAGGCAAGGATTTCTTAAGGTGATATCTTTTATTGGACCAACCTGTATGTGTATGTGTGTACATATGCATGTTGTATGTATGTGTGCACGTGTGTTTGTGTGCATATGTATGCATACACACTTATGTATACCCCTGTCTGTGTGTATAGACAAGGGGGTATGTATAAATGTGTGTGCATATACCCATGTCAATGTATGTGCGCATGCCTGTGCGCATATCTGTGTATATACACACACACATATGCATGCATATACCCACAGGTGTATGCATACATAACACACATGCAGACACATGAATACACATATATGCACACATGCACATTGATAGATGCATATGCACATAAGCACCGCACACACACAGAAATGTATACACATGCACACACATACATACGTACCTGCACACGCATTAACGACCGCGTACGCACATATGAACATGCTCATGTCGATACACACACGTATCTGCACATGCACACACACCCCCTACACATGCATAAGCACCTATCTGCACGTGTGTGCACATGTACCTGCACACCCCTGTATCTGCACACGCACGGACATGTACCTACACGCGCGCGCGCGCACGTCGAGACTTTCCTGTTCGTGCTCGCAGGGAGGCCCGCGGCGGGAGAGGCCCAGCCCATTAGCGGGGTGTTAATCAGCAGCCCCCGCCTCAGCCCGCACGTCGCCCCCGGGGCGGGGCTGCCGGGCCGGGACGTGCCGCGGGTGCTTGCGGAGAGCCCGATCCGCGCCCGAACCAGACGTTTGCCTTTTGTCTGTGCCCGCGGCTCGGCCTGAGTCACCGGGGTCAGGCCGAGGTGAGCGGGGCCGGGCGGGACGCGGCTGCAGCTCGGCACGTCCCTCAGGTGCCGCCGGCCGGGCGCTCTGCGCGGGAAGCCCGAGTCACCCTGACGCCCGGCAGCCACCGTAGTCGCCCGGCCCGGCCGGGCCCCCGTCGTCTGCCGGCGCTGAGGGAGCCGGCGGGGCTCCTCCAGGCTGCAGGCACCTACTCGCCCAGGCGGCTGCTCCCCGCCCTGCTCCGCAGCCCCGAGGGTCGGGGCTGATCCCGTCTGTCCAAACCATCCTCCAAGGGGTTGGAAGGGGCCTCAGGAGGGCGTCCAGGCCACCCCCGGCTCAAATCAGGACCATCATCCCAGCCACGGCTCCATCTATCCAAGCCCTCAAAACCTCTAGGATGCAGATTCCAGCAGGCCTCTGAGTAGCCCGTTCCAGCAAGCTGCTGCTCCCGGGATTTACTTAGGAACAAGCAGATCCAGCCTGCCGGTGCCCCCAGATAACGACTCCCTTATGAGACAGGCTTGGAGAGAAACTTCCAAGCTCACTGAAACAAGCAAAAGTGGCTGGTTTGGTCAGCTCACTGCTTTCTGAATCGAACCATCTTCCCGGCCCAAGTTGGCTGTCAGGACCAAAGCTCCTGGTTCCAGAATAAAAGGCTTGATGCTGAGTCTAAGATAGCCAGGGTGGGCAAAATGTGGCCTGCCAGGCCATTCTATCCAGCCTGCGGGGCCCCTGAAAAATTTAGAAAATTAATATTTATCTGCCCCTGGCTGCCTATCATGCGGCCCTCGATGGCTTGCCAAAACTCAGTAAGCAGCCCTCCGCCCAAAATAATTGCCCACCCCTGGTCTCAGAGAAGCCTTTGGTGGGACAGGCTCCAGCTCCAGGTTGCCACCACGTCACCCCACTTTTTTTTGGCGTGTTTTTTTTTTTTTGACCCCGGGATCTCCAGAGTCAAACCCACCCCCTGGTCTGTAGCACACATACTACATATCTGGACTCATCTGGATGCGGTCAGCTTGTTCAAATTTGCCTCACTTTTGCTGTAACTCTTACTGGTCAGCATTTTATCTTTGAAACTTAAACACAGTAACCCACCTCCCCCCCCAAGAAACCCCCCAAATCCCAGAAGTTCCTTCATTTATAATGGTAACTGACAAATGAAACTATTAACACATTAACAGATAAGGCAACATAGAGAAATTTTCCCTCTAAGGCTAGGGCCAGAAATAACACATAGACCATTGTAAGTGATCAGAAACCAGGTCAAATCTGTAACACAACAGAAGTTCAGTGCATATAAACTGCTTTCAAAATGGCTGAAACTGGTTTAAGATAAACCTGGCTGGATGTAGTATCAGACTTAACTGGCTTAGGTTAAATTGGTTTATTGAACTTCTGTCTCAGATCCTTCTGATTCAAGTTAACGCAGTTCCCCAGCATCCCAGGATGCTTTGCACTTCCCTGCATTGCTGGGTGGGTGGGCTAACTTTGAGCCAAGCTGTCTGCTCTAGTTGAGCAGAGAGGCATGCTCTGGAGCCCCCCCGGCTTCTGACCTGAGCCACTGCAGGCATGTGGCTGCATTTTGGGAATCAAAAGCAAATGTCTGTTCACTTGCTTATCTGTTCAATCTACACATTTTAGACTAACCTGTGAAGACTGAATTGATTCAGCCATGGGCTTTTTGACTGTCTGTACTTATGAACTATGGGAAACAGGAAGATGCTTCCATACGCAAACATAGAGCTGAAGAGGAATGTGCCAAGACAATCAGATCCAAAGGTTTATACATTTCCTACCTTTATTTCACCTTGTAAAGTGAATATTTTGAAATTTGCTGAAAAATATGAAAACTTTTCCAAGATTCTTTTGCCTGTTTTTCAACTGCATCCAGAGCCAGTTGGAAATATTTTGATTAAAAAACAGAGGAAAAATAATTGAGATGGATTCTTTTCTGTTTTTCACCTCTGTTAGTAATATTTGCAGCCAAAACCATATTTGACAAGACAAGTTTCACTTGCTTTATGGTGTACATATGTTCCTGGAAAATGGCACATAACTTGAATTTGCATAAAGGGAATCCACTTTACAATGTAACAAATAGGGATATGTTCTAAGACCTCAACTGTACTGACCCCCAGACCCATTTCTATCATTTTTACAAGACAATTTTGGTCCTCACTAACAGCAGACAGTACACACAAGCACAGGGCAGTGATGAAAGTTACCATAATGGGGATGGCAACTACAGAAGCACGTGTCACAGACAAAGAACAAGGAGCACAGATCCACATAGGAGGCTATATCTTGGTGTGTGTCACTCCCACAATTCACCACACAAAGCAGCTGACTGAGGGCTTCCATCACACTGATCGCATGAGAGTGAATTTACCTTACATATAATGGATTTTTGGTATAAAAAGGTGCATCACATAAGTGAGTTCGCACATACAGAACTCGCATACAGCAAGGGAAACCTGTACAGAGTGTCCAGGAAGGTGCCTCTAAATATACTATTTACCTTACTATTTTCTGGAAAATCTGCTTCTACACTCCATTATTATTAGTTTAGGGCAAATTAGACCTAAATCTGATGTCACAGAGGTTCTTATACTGCTGTAACTGTACTGGCTACTCTACACTGGCACCACAAGAGGAGAGAGAATCAGATTTATATTTTGTAAGCTTTGTAGAAATATGGAATAGTGTGTGTCAGAGAAGGAGTTGGTGTTTATAATGGAAGACTGGATAGAAATAGAAGTTTACAGAGGGAGAAAGCGTAGCTACTAATTACTCTTTTCTTTTTCTAGGAATAGTCAGTTTAAGGCAATAAATATGATGCAATTTACCTTATTTTCCTATCCTTCGAATTGCCAGCACTTATATAAATGTTGGTAGTAGACAGTTAAGCTAGAATTTTTTAAGAGATTCCCTCATAAAAATCAATCCTTACTATCACCCACAATAAGTGTACCTCTTGTCTCTTAGTCAAGTTGATTTTCTAAGTGTAAACATGAAGAGTAATTCATCTCTGTGCAGTCACAGTCTATGCAGTCTTTTTAAGAAAAGAAACATAAATGTTTAGGAAAAGGAACAGTGTTTTCAGTAGGGTTTATTCATAGCAATAAAACTATGAGGAGCTCTAGAGTCCCTCTGGATGCTAGCCCAGGGGCTGGCAAGGAGCATGGGACCAGGAGACAGCTGTCTCCTGGGGGGAGCTGAGAGAATGCTCCCTGCCCCGGGACCTGCCTGCTGCCAGGGAGGGCTCCACCACTGGAACCTGGGCAGGGACAATGTCCCCCTGTCCCAGCAGCAGGGAGCTCGCAGCCCCTGCTCCACAATCACAAAGCAGGGGTTGGGAGCGTCCTGCTGCTGGGGCAGGGGGGCATTGTCCCCACTTGGGTTCTGGTGGCAGAGCCTGCCTCAGCAGCAGGGAGCTCCTGGGATCAGGGAGAAAATTTGTTCCCAGTCAATTGTCTACACATGCCATACTGCACAGTAATTACTCCTGAGTAAATTTGCTACTCATATTTACAGGTAGCAAATTTACTCATGATTAGAGCAAATTACTGCACTGTAAGTGTCTGGACACATGATGATGCTTACACCACATACATTTGCTCTAACCTCGAGTAAAGTATCTTGTGTAGATGTGCCCACTGAGAAGTTGCAGCACCCATTGCTCAGTGGTTACAAGAGCCAGACCACTTATATAGAGATGCATAACTATAGATTAATTAAAGGCCATGTTTAGGTTTAGAAATATAAGGATACAGATAAGTAGCTAGTGAAATTTTAAATCGGGGTGGCCAATTATTTCCACTGCAGAGCTGCTTAATGAGTTTTGGTGAGCTGTCGAGGGCCCCACCCCTTGACAGATGCCTCGCCTCTTGGTCACCATCTTGGGACTGCAAGTCCCATCCCTAGCCCCTGACCTTTGCCACTGGAAGTCCCTCCCTTTGCTCCTGAAAGTACTCCTTTTGGGAGGGGGCTTGGCATCTGGAACAGGAAAAAAATAAACAAAATGTATACTAAATTTTATTTAAAAATATATATTTTTGTCCTGATTTGTGTGTGTTTGCATAGTGCATAATATAGAGGCGATTGCATAACAGCTCAAAATGAAGTCTTACATGTATATAGTGGAGGAGGTATGGGGGGTAGGGATCAGTGGGTATAGGATTTGTTGGGGGCTGTAGGTGTGGGGGGTTGTGGGGGGAGTGTATGGGGATGTGTAGGTGTGTGTGGGTGGGTATGGGGTTTGTGGAGGGCAGTGGGAGTATGTAGGGGTTGTAGGGTGTGTGGAGGGGGAGGGTGTGTGGGGGGTTAGCTGGGAGGGTGTGTGAGGGTATGTGGGTGCATATGTATGGTGGGGTGTGCATGTGGGGCCCCCCTACAAACATGCCCCCTTCACACATGCTCCCACATTGTGCACAGACCCTGCCACCACCACCAGCAGCAGGTGACAGGCCCTCAGGACACTCCTGGTCTGTAGCAGGCAGAGCCCCCTGCTGGCATGCAGTCCTGGTGGCTAGGAATTGACCCTCTCAGCAGCACAGAAGCAGAAAGAGATCTCAGAGTCATATTGGACTCCAAGATCAACATGAGTCATCAGTGTGACAAAATCAGCAAAGCTAACCACACTT